GTGGATTCAGGTCAGCACCCAGATGCAAGCGGCTTTCGAAAACCACAAGTGCTGTAGCAGGACTGTTCCCAAGGGCCGTGGCTTCCCGGAGAAGGAGGGCCCGGATTTGAGGGCCCCATTCACTCCCCGGGGAAACTAGCCCGCCCCTCACTTCCCAGGTGACCTTGCTCTCGCTGTGACTATTTCTCCACCAGTGAAGTGAAGGGGGTCAATTAGGACACTATTCTTAAACTTTCGGGGATCATGGCCCCTTTGAGAATCAAATAAAAACATTTTCGCCAGAAGAAATAGAAAAAACTTCACAAATTGGCACTCTGGGACCCTCTGACCCACCCATGGCACTCTAGGCTAAGGACCTAGTGGGGTCATCATACAGAACACATCCTGTGTGACTTTGGGCATGGCCTGGCCCTCTCTGGGCCTTATCTCTAAAGTACTTTGCGAAACCATCACCCGTCCTCTTACGGGTACAATTTCATTTAACACCGATGTAGGATAGATGCCCTTACCCCCATTTTCAAGAAGGGGAAAGTGAGGCCCATGGGCACAAAGTCACAAAATACCTAACTTTGAAGTCAGTTCCCTTCCCAGTCTCCCATGTTCCCTTGTGTTAACAGCCACGGCTCCTCCTCCTATCCTTCATGGAACACTCGGTGCGTCCAGCTGCTGTGCTACTCATTTTCCCTTCTCTCATCCCCGAGTCCCCACAACTCCAGACACTCACACGGTCAGCCCCATTTTACAGAGGAGGAAACTGAGGCACAGAGGTGCAAGGTCTGGAGCCAGTGCAGTCTCGTGTTTTCCATGTCGAATAATGAATGACGCAGCTCATAGCTAAATCTGTACCCAAACCCGGATTTCCGGGTCTAATCCAGCCCCAGTTAAGGAGGGGGCAGCGTCAAATTTGACAAAATGTCTTCAATTATTTTTTAATGTATTTTTATTGATTTCAGAGAAAGGGAAAGGGAGAGAGGAGAGAAACATCAATGATGAGAGAGAATCGTTGATCGGCTGCCTCCTGCACGCCCCCTACTGGGGATCGAGCTGGCAACCCAGGCACGTGCCCTTGACCAGGAATTGAACCGTGACCTCCTGGTTTCACAGGTCGATGCTCAAACACTGAGCCACACCGGCCGGGCTGTCTTTAATTGCTTTTAAGGTCAAGACGCTTTATTCAACGTGGGCGCTTACAGTAGCTCAGACCAACAGCTGAGAAAGTGGTGCCATGCTGAGGTGCCCTGGGGACGACTTTAATGAAGAGAGCCGGTGTCGCAGGGCGGCGCACACATGGCTACTGCTGGTTAGAAACGGCCTCGCTCAAGGAGGTGAGCAGGCGCCCCTCCCGCCCGCCACCCACGGCCGTGGCACCGCTGACTTGCTGAGCACACCCTTCCTTCCCCAGGAGAGGAGGTGGTTCGGCCGGGCGGTGCCAGCCGGGCCTGGTGGCATCTCATTCAGAGCGCCAGCTCCGACTCCTGCCGGGAGAGAGAGCAATGATGGCTGGGCCTGGGACGGGTGCCTCTGAAGTGACAAGGCTGGAGTGGGCCCTAGAGGGGCTGGCAGGGGTCTACCTGCACCCAGCAGGGAGCTTTTCTCCCCAGAAGGTTCCAGGTCGGGAGCCGGAGCCAACGCCCCACTCGCTCTGTTTTCCTGCGTGGGAAGCTGCTGAGCATGAGCTCTGGGCCGGGTGGGGCCTAGGCGGGCTAGACATGCCCACCTGGTCCTGCCTCCAGGAGCTGACGGTCCAGCAGGCAGCTGGCAGCATGGGCAGCAATGATCCTGGGTGCCCTGTACAGGGATGGGACCCGGCAGCAGGTGGGGTGGGGGTGGGGGGCAGGGGGGTGGAAGGCTTTGGAGAGAGCAGAATCTCAGCAGGAGTTCAGCAAGGGAAGGGGGGACAAGGAGGCCCTGGCCCCCCGGGGGCAGGCCCAGTGGTTCTGGTGGCTGAGGGGCCGGAGGAGGGACGGTGAGCCAGGAGCCCGCCCTGCCGGTGAAGTGTCTGCTGCGGGTCGGGTCGGCACCAGGCGGCCGGCCAGCAGAGAGCAATCCTGCGCTCAGGTCAGGACCCTTTCCCGTTCCTGTGTGGTTAGTGCTTTGAAGGAAATACTCAGAGGCAGAGGCTTAGGCTGGGGGAGCGACTTCAGGCAGCATACTCGGGCACAGCTCCCTCTGCTAGGCGGGAATTGAGGCCTGGGCCTGGGGCTGGGGCTGGGGCAGGACTGAAAGGAAGGGGGTGCAGGGGGAGGGGAGGAGGGGCAAAGAGCCCAGAGCATCTCCGAGGTCCCCCAAGGCCGGAGCTGGGTGTGGGAGGGGGGCCCAGACCCTGGTAGCCCCTCCGAGGACTTCCGATTTGATTTCGGCCAAGGAAAGTCACCATACAGTCTTCTTGTTTTATTTTCTTTAAATTTACCCTTTGTTATATTTCTTCCTCGTTTACTGACTTAATTTATATATATATATATATATATAATTGATTTTTTTACAGAGAGGAAGGGAGAGGGATAGAGAGTCAGAAACATCGATGAGAGAGAAACATCGATCAGCCGCCTCCTGCACACCTCCCACTGGGGATGTGCCCGCAACCAAGGTACATGCCCTTGACCGGAATCGAACCTGGGACCCTTCAGTCCTCAGGCCAACGCTCTATCCACTGAGCCAAACTGGCCAGGGCCTTATTTTTATTAGTTGAATGTTCCCACTACTGGCTTGTGAACTATAACTTCTTTGTTTCATTTTTTATTGTTGCTGTAGAGGTTACAATATAAACACTTACCACTGTCTATCTTCAAATAATAGCATGCACCTTTGTCTATAGTGTGAAACGATTTCTCCTCCTGCCTTTGTGCCACTGTTTTCACCTGTAAATAATTTGCTCCTTTACACGTTGTCCTCAAATTCATCCCTGTGGTGGCATATTGCCGAATTCCCTTTTTAAAAGCTGGTTAATATTCCATTGCATGCTCTCACCACAGCTGGCTTGTCCATTCATCTGCTGATGGACACGTAGGTGCCTTCCCGCTTCTGGCTGCTGTGGGAATGCTGCTGTGAACGTGGGTGTACAAGTACCTCTTCGAGGCCCTACTTCCCATTCTTTTGGGGAGAGGCCGGACGTGCAATGGCTGGAATTCTATTTTTAAGGTTTGAGGAGCCACCAGTTTTCCCTCCCACCACCAATGCACAAGGGTTCCCGTGTCCCCACTTCCCCGCCAGCCCTTGCTCTGTGGGCTTTTTGCTAGTAGCCGTTCTAATGGGGGGGAGGTGGCGTTTCATTTGGTTTGCATTTCCCTAACGACTGGTGTCGCTGAGCGTCTTGTCACGTGTCTCTCGGATACCCCCACCTCCTTTAGGGACGTGTCCGTGACAGTCGCTCGCCCACTTCTGAATCCGGTTACCTTTCTGTTGGTGAGCTTGAGGAGTTCTCCTTTTGACTCTTTTGTGTGGTCCAATTTTCCACAGGCTTGTTATTCTCTTCCCTCTGAAAGAAATCCCTTTCACCTTTCTTGAAGGCCATTCCTCTGACGATAGATTCTTTCAATTTTGCTTGGGAAGAAAAGCCTTTGTTTCCACCCTCATTTTTTAAGGCATTTTTTTAAAGAACAGGTCTAGGTTCACAGCAAAATTGAGGGGAAGATACAGAGATTTCTCATGTCCCCCGTACCCCCCCCCCAGGCACAGCCTCCCCTATTATCACACCCCCACACTAGATGGAGCATTAGTTACCATGGAGCCTGCATAGACACATCATCACCATCCCAAGTTCAAAGCTGATATCTGGGTTCACTCTCGGAGTGAGTGGCACGTTCTGTGGTTTGGACAAACACGTAAGGACATACGTCCATCATTACCGGGTCAGACGAGTAGTTTCACTGCCTTGAAAATCCTCTGTACTCCGCCTGCTCCTCCCTCCCCTCAACCCCAACCCCTGGCAGCCCCTGACCTTTGTACTGTCCCCCTAGCTTAGCCTTTCCCAGAAGGCCACATATTTGGAATCATACATTCCGTGGCCTTTCACTTAGTCGTATGCACTTAAGCTTCCTGCGCAGAAAGATTTTAAGCAGAGGAGTGACCTACTCTAATTGAAGTGATTACAGGTCCACCTGGCAGCCCTGGGGAGCATGCATTAGAAGGGGCGGTGGGGTGGGGTGGGGTGGGGCAGTCAGGAGGCAGGTGCAGAAATCCATGCCAGGGATGGTCGTGCCTTGAACCTAGAAAAGAAGAGGAAGGGACAGACACACTGACAAGACGGACTGGTACAGGGACAGGGTGGGGGACGCTGACCTATTCCTTCTGCGAGGCTGCCACCGTGTGGCGAGCAAGGGAATGACAGCCGACTGGACTACCCTCGCCAGGCTCCTCCACCCCTTCATGCATCTGAGAAGTATTCCTGGTGCCCCTACTCTGTGCGTGGCCCTGAGGCAAGCTCTGTGTGGGATACGAGGCAACCTGAGGGGTGGCAGTGAGGAGAGAATACTGCAATAGACAAAATGTAGGTTTTAATTCTAATTCCAAGACGTGCTACCATGGACTGGCTACAGTCCAAGGAGAGACGGGCCAGGCCAATGCTTTGTGGGCCTCAGGGGTTCTGTCTGGGCCCTGGGTGGCGGGGCAGTGCGGGAACCCCCGGAGGTGCTGTTTACTGCGACACATGTCCCTGCTGCCTTTCACTGTCCCTCTCCACTGTCATTGTGTCTGAATGTGGTCTTTTCTCTTTCCTATCCCCTCTGTCTATTGGTCCCTTTTTACCTTCTGGGGTGCTCTCTCTCCCTCCCTCCCTCATTCCCTCTTCCCTCTCTCTCTTTCATCCCCCTCTCACGTCACCTCTGCTCTCTTCCTGTCTCTCCATTCCTTCCCTCTTCCTGTCCGTCTCTGTGACTGTCTGCCCCCCTACTGTTTCCCCCCATCTCTCCATCTCTGCTCTCCTCTGTTCCGTCTCTGCCCACCCCTCTGTTCCTTCTACCTTTCCCACCGCCCCTCTCTCTGGCTGTGTCTCTCCTCACCAGCCTGTCCAAAGCGGCCGACCTGGACCATCACTGGGTGGCCAAGGCCTGGCTGAACGACATCGGCCTGTCCCAGTACTCCCAGGCCTTCCAAAACCACCTGGTCGATGGGCGGATGCTGAACTCCCTGATGAAGCGGGACCTGGAGAAGCACCTGAATGTGTCCAAGAAGTTCCACCAGGTCAGCATCCTGCTGGGGATCGAGCTGCTGTACCAAGTGAACTTCAGCAGGGAGGTGAGAAGCAGGCTGTGGCTGCAGGCACCTGCCATCGCCTTACTTCCCCCTCGGGCATTCACTGTTTGCCCATCCAACCACCTCCCCATCCATCCACCCATCCATCCACCCATCCATCCACCCATCCATCCATGCACCCATCTCTTCCTCTCTCCATCCCTCCTTCCAACAACTGCCTATAGCAGTCACGGCGACCCTTTTGAGCTCGGCGTGTCAGCATTTTGAAAAACCCTCACTTAACTCTGGTGCCGTGTCACATATAGAAATTTTTTGATATTTGCAACCATCGTAAAACAAAGACTTCTATTTTTGGTATTTATTTTATATATTTAAATGCCATTTAACAAAGAAAAATCAACCAAAACAATGAGTTCACGTGTCACCTCATAGGTTCGCCATCACTGGCCTATAGTAGGGGCAGGCCCTGTGCTCAATTCAAGGGAAATAGTGAGCCTTCATCCCCCAAGAACTCATTTCTTGTCCTCACCCAGGCCACTGAGGTCCCTGTGAGCACTGTGGACCCTTATTCCCCATGTGACCTCAGCCCGCTCCCTTGTCCCCCAAACTGACCCACTGTCTCCCTCCCACAGGCCCTCCAGGAGCGCCGGGCCCGCTGCGAGACACAGAACACAGACCCCGTGGTCTGGACCAACCAACGGGTGCTCAAGTGGGTGCGAGACATTGACCTGAAGGTGAGGGGTGACGGCGGGTGTGGGGGTGACTCAGGCAGATGCAGACCCCATGCAGGTTTGTGTGAGCGGGGGGCATCGTTACCCAGGCTGGCAAGAACAAGCTGCCTCCTGTCACTAAGAGGAGGGAACTACAAACCCCGCCCCCACAATGGCCCCCCGTGCCGATGCCCTCCCACAGTGGGTGAGGGATGCCAGCCATCCTCACTCTCTAGAGCAGGCACGGGTTGACTCCAGGCCCATCGTCTCACTCGAGTACGTGTGGGCTGCCTGCGCGGTCTGGGAGGGTCAGTGACAGACTGGCCTCGGCCACTGCCCTGCTGGCCCTAAAGAGGGAGGGGGGGCTCCCCTCAGTGTGAACTGACTGGTCCCCAAGGGGCCAAGCCACATGGAGCTAGGCTAGGAGCTAGGGCCCCCTCCGGCCAGTAGGGCGGCCCCTCAGGCTAAGCAGCCTCGTGCCTTGCCCCCAGGAGTACGCAGACAACCTGACCAACAGCGGGGTCCACGGCGCCGTGCTGGTGCTGGAGCCCACGTTTACTGCCGAGGCCATGGCCACCGCCCTGGGCATCCCCAGCGGGAAGCACATCCTCCGGAGACACCTGGCGGAGGAGATGAGCGCCATCTTCCCCCCGGCCACGTGAGTGCGGGCAGCCTCGCCCCGGGGTCCCCATCCGGGCCCTCACTCACGGGGTCCCGCCTGCCCCTTTCATAGGGCTGGGAACTGGGGCTCAGAGAAGCGAAGTGCTTTAGCCCAAACGTCATGGACGAGAAAGAGGTGGAGTAAAGTGTGTGGGTGCATCCCCACGGCCCGGCATTCGGAACGGGGAGAAGGACGGAGAGTGTGAGCAGGGGCCCTGGGAGGGGTCTCAGCTGGGCACCATTCGCACCGGCCTCAGAGGTCGACGCGGCCATTCCAGCAGGGATGCCTGTGGGGTCAGAGGCTTGGAGAAGGGGCTGGGCATCCGAATGGTGTTCATGGTCCAGGTGGACAGACCCGGCCAGCCACCTACCCAGTCTCCTCATCAGAAAAGTGACCAAGAACAAACACCCGGACGGGCGGGCTAGCGCCTCCTAGTGGATGCTCCCCGCAGGTGGCTGCAGCAGGTCAGACCCTTCACTGAGCACTGAGGTCTGACCAAGTGGCTGCAAATGCTCACTAGGCCGCGTCAGGCCTCCGGAGACCTCCGTCTGGTGCTGGTTTGGATGAGGAAACGGGCCCAGCGAGGTCATCGGCGGCACGAGGGCACAGCCAGGGCACTCAGACCAGGCCGGTGCCCCTCACAGCCCCTGCTGGTCCCAGTCAGATGTAATCATAGCCGTCCATCCCGGCGCGCCAGCCACTCTGGGCCTCTGTGTGCGTCATCTCATTCAGCCCCAGACGCCCTTATGAGAGAAGTGCTGCGATGACCCCTTACAGAGCCCATGGCCCCGGGGACACCGCTGCTAAGGGCCGACCAGGCCACGCATGAGCGTGCGTGTCTCCGGGGGCCGGAGCTGACTAGATCCCCCCCAACACACACACACTCACTTGGAACGCGTCTCTCCCCAGCTCCACGGGCATCCGGGAGGCTGAGCGCTTCGGAACGCCCCCTGGGCGGGCCCCCAGCACCCCCCGGGCGGGGAAGGAGGAGAACAGCAGTGGCATCAGGCACAAGGCTGGCCGGGTAAGTGGCCTCTGGTTCACTGAGTCCTGCCGCCTGGGAAGGTCTTTTTGTCCAGGCCAGCGTGGCCCTTCCCAGCTCCCGTGTTGGCCTGTCGGGGCCGCTGGGACGGTCACAGGCGCAGCGAGGACAGAGGCCCCGGAAGTCGCCCCCCAGGGACCTGTGTGATGCAGAAGCCCCACGAGGGTTAGGGGAGCAGCTCCACCTGCAGGTCTCAGCTGCCTCAGCGTCACCTGGGCAGCTGCTTATCATACAAAGTCTGGGACCCACCTGGACTCCTGAAGCAGAGGGCCTCTGGGAGCCACTGGCTTGGGGTTTGAGCTCCTGTCACCTGGCCAGTCGCAGCAGGGGAGCCTCTGATGTGAGCAAACCTGTGCGGTTTGGGGCTGATCACACACGCAGACCGCACAGTCCTCGGTGGAGGTGGAGGCACAGGGGGCAGAAGTGACAACCCCAAAATTCTTCCATTCGCTCAGCGAACCCTGGGGGGCGCCAACAGCCTTCCAGGCACCTTCCTACTAGTAAACGTAGGGGGAGAAGCATGAATCAGTGGCCACCTTTCTCCTAAGGTGCTCTCAGCCCAGAGCGAGCATTCTCATGAAGGGTGACTCCCCCAAAGGGGGGAAACTGGTTTGGAAAACGCCTCCCTCCTTTTATGTCACTAGCAGAGTGTATCCGCGGTTAATTTCATGGCGGGAGCATGATGAGGGGAACATGTCTAAAAGGCTTTCTTTCCGGGGAGAAAAATGGAAAAAGATAGGATTTACTGTCCCTATTTAGTAACTGAGAAAACCAAGTCTCAGAGAGGGCAAGTGACTTGTCCCAGGTCACACAGCTGGGAAGTGGCAGAGCAGGGACCTGAACCCTGGCGTGAGACTCTGAAACCCACACGTTTTCCGTCACATGAGGCAGCGCTAGAATATCTCTCCTTGACTTGGGATGAGGTCAGACCTCATGCGCATGCTCGGACGGCCTCTCCTCCGTTACGCCTTCCTCCCACTGAGGAGGAAGATGGGAGATTTGTGGATAATCAGAAAGACTACGTCTGTCCTCACCCTTCGTAACAACTGGTTCCTTCCAGTTGGGAACACGAAACTCTCTCCTAATGTTAACTCACAAACTCCCCTCCGTCTCCCTGAGCAGTGGAGTATTATTGCTAACTAGAGGCACGTGCACCAGTGGGGTCCCTCGGCCTGGCCTGCGGGATTGGGCTGAAACCAGCTCTTCGTCATACTCCGAGGGGTCCCGGATTGCGAGAAGGCGTAGGCCAGGCCAGGGGACCCCACCGGTGCACGTGCACGATCAGGGTGGGGAGGGACAGGGGGAGGGCTCCAGGGCATGTCCAGCCCATCTCTCTCAGTCTGCAGCATCCAGCTAACCTACTGGTTGGAGCATCTGCCCCCTGGTGGTCAGTGCATGTCATAGTGAGCGGTTGAGCGGCCTTAGCATATCATTAGCATATTACGCTTTGATTGGTTGAATGGCCAACCAGACAACCGGACACTTAGCAGATTAGGCTTTTATTATACAGGATAGGAAAAGCACAGAGAGGTTAGGGAAGTTACTCAAGGGCACACAGCAATTAGACTTGGAGACGCCACACGTCCCATATCTGAAAATTCCATTCCTTTCCTTCCTGGTCCTGTGGCCTCGTGCTCTCTCCTCAGCTGCCCCTGGGGAAGATAGGGCGGGGCTTCGGCAGCAAAGAGCCCGATTTCCATGATGACTACGGCTCCCTCCACAACGAAGACTGTGGGGACGAGGACCTCGAGGGCCGGCCAGAGCAGTGCCGCCTGGAGGGCTACAATGGCCTGGAGGTCACCAACGTGTGAGGAGCCGATGCTCGGCCAGACCCGACACGGGAGTCACCTGGAGGAAGAGGAGCCGGACACCATCGCCCCTGTACATTGTGCCCGCAGCTGAGGAGGCGCCTCAGTCCCGGGAAAATCCCCGCAGACGCCGCAGCTTCAGATGGGAGCACAGGGAGCCAGGAGGCGCCCGCCGGAGACGTCCCACTCAGCGGAAGGGCGCTGGCCCCAGGACCTGTTACATGCCAGCCCCTCCATCACCCAGGCCCCACCCCAGAGTGACTGACTGTCAGCGCTGTCCTGGCTGCCAAGGCGGAAAGGGGCCCCGACGCCCCATCCGGGAGGAGCAGGTGGGCTCCACGCAGACATGCGAGCCCCGCGGGCACAGAGGTCAGCAGGCAAAGCCCAAGGTTGACCCATCAGCAGGTGACCCTCCAGCCAGTGAGGCGACAGGAAAGGCTGCCCACGGCCGAGACGCCACACGGCGGGAGGGTGCGGCCCAGCATCCTCGCCCCTGTGACTGAGAGCCTGGGTTCTCTGTGGGGTCGCTGAGCCCCTCTTGGGAGCAAGCGGAACGGGGGAGTCATTGTCTCTGCCCCGAAAGCCCCGGTCACGGGGGTGGGCGTGTGGGAGTAATTGCTCGTCCTCCCAGGAGCAGCTCCCGGGTGGGCACAGGTGGATGGTCCGTGCGGGCCGGGGCTTGGCAATGGCAGTCCCAGGAAATGCAACCTCCTGTCATTGGGCGAAGGGCCGGTGAGGGCAGGATCAGGGATGACGGAGGGAGGCCCGGGACAACTGTGCCCCATGTGGCAGCGGATCCGGGATCGGGGCAGGGAGTGCTCACCGCTACCCCACAAACCTTTGTCGCTCTGATGGCTGTCACCTGCGCAGAGGGGTCCTGGCTGAGATGAGCCTCGCAGAGCCACGCGGGCGGGATGGCGGCGAGAACCGCGGGCCTCTGCCTGACTCGCACTGTGTGCTGTGCGGCTTCTCCCGGCGCCTCGCCTCTCTGCACTTCAGCATCCTCCTCTAACGCTGCTTCCCGGCCGGGGGGTGCGAGGCTAACACTTGCTAACGTCTGTAACGCACTCCGTAGCCTCTCGGGAGGCAGGTGGGAGTCGGGGGTCTAATCCCCCACATACCACACAGAACGGACATGGACCTGCCCCTCTAACTCGGTTATTTTGGGAACAATGTGCAAAGGGAGCACAAGGCATGTGGGATATTTCGACCCTTTAGCACCCCTGATAGGGCTTGAGCGGGGAGAGAGCGAGAGCGAGAGCGAGAGCGAGAGAGAGAGAGAGAGACCCCATAGGCACAGCCCTTGGAAACCAGTTTGATTCCAGGGATCGGCTGGGCTTCCTGGACCCCGACGCTGAGTGATGATCCAGGAAGGACGAAACGAGCATCCCACTGACACTCGGGTATGGAAGCGGATCACCTGTTGGAACCACGATGCCCCACTTCCACTGAAGCCATGTGCCCGAGCGCCCAGGAGGACAGGGTGTGAATTCCCAACACTTGAGTCCGCCTCGAAGACCTCTCCAACCCAGGGTGGGCGACACCGACCGAGCCCCGAGGAACTGGGGGGTCCCTCCCAGAGCCAGACCGCACGTCTCCCCCACCCTGACACAAGCACAGCCTCCCTCCCCCGGGGCCAGGTGCCTGGTGGGTGGACAGGGAGACGCCCCCTCTTGTCTGATGTTTGGCCTCCTCGGGACACAGTTCTGATTCCGGGGCCTGAGGCGTGAAGCTCTGGGACCTGCCCTGGCTCCGCTGAGGGTCCAGACCCCAGTGTCTCTGTGGCATTCAGCCACACGCGGGCCGGAGCTGCAGAGCCCACAGCCGGGGCAGGAGAACCAGGCGCCCAGCCACGCTGGTGCCCGGTCACTCCTGAGCCAGCCTCAGCCTGGGTGGCCGGCACCCCAGGACCTGCCTCCAGGGGGGCAGCAAAGCAGGAGGCCAGTCATCCCCACAGGGTGGGCGGAAGGGCAGGGTGGGCGAAGGCAGACCTGCTTACCTGAAACTAACTTGATTTGTCAGGAATGAAGCTCGCCTTGTCCCCGGCGCACCCCCTTTGCAGACAAGGTGAGCGAGCAGCGGCTTGGGGGTCACCAGCAGGGGTGGCGTTAGTCCGAAAGGCCTGGGGCCACGTGGGCCACTGCACACCCACCTTTTGGCCCAAAGATGCCCTGAGCACACACTCGCTCCCCGCCAGGTGCGCGTGGGGAGCTGGCTTTTCAACACGAGAACAGGTTGACTGATAAACAAGCCCCACAGAGTCCCGTCAGGTGGGCCTTGTCTGCGGGAAAATCCTAAATGTCAATCTGCTTGGGGGCGGGAAGGGGCGCAGACAGACTCGGCAGGAAGACCTGGTGGCTGATTGACAAGGGCTGGCCGAGCGGCCACCTGCACACTGACCTGCACGTCCTGCCCAAACCGCCTGGGCCGTGGTCTTGGTCCTTGAAGGGTGACCTGGCATCGGGACGCGGAACCACACCACGCGCTTCTCTGGGAGGTGCCGCCCCTGCCTGCGGTGCTGCCCCCTGGACAGGGGTGGTTGGTGCCAGAGGCGGGAGCACCAGGGTGGGCAGAGGGACCCGTGTTCCTCCCGGAGGCTGGGCCAGAGCCACCAGGAGGCACCTGGTTGGCACTCAGCTTTCTGACCCAGGCGCCCCTGAGAGACCCGTGTCCTGGGCTGAGCAGAGCCTTTCTCTGCTGTCAGCATCGCTGTCACCAGGCCCCAGGCTGCAGGGGGGCAGGGAGAGGCCACCCTGACCTGATGAAGTGCGGGGGGGAGGGGTCCTTACACAGCCAGCATGGAAGGGCCTCGGAATAATGCCCCCCAATCCTGAGCTCGTTGACCAGCGCTGGGGCTGGCAGCGTGGGGTGACGTGGGCAAGAACAGGCCTGAGTGCTCCCCGCAGGGCCCCTGGGTCCCTCCACGCTCCAGGGCCAGCTCCCCCCTCCCCCGCCCCCACCCCCACCCTACTCCGCCCCCCGCGCATCAAAACCTGTGTCCCGGGCATCAGCACCCTGGGCTGCTCTTTGAGGCTCCCACCGGCTCCTGGCAGTTGAGTGACATGAAAGACCCCATGGGAAACAGAACCGTGGGAATGGGCCTTCTTGCCCGGGGTTGGCTGGGGAGGGGGATTTCCCGACCCTCCCCCACCGGCTGGGGGCTGCTGAGGACTCACGGGGGGAACACCCTCCACAGAGAGAATGTTAACACTGTAACAATAAACACTACTGCACAGCGCTTCCCTGACGAGGCGGCCTTTCTCGACGTCTGCTCTCATTTCATTTTCCCAGCAGCCTCTTTGGAAGGAGATTATGAACCCATTGCATCGATGCAGAAACTGAGGTTGGAAAGGCGGAGGGGCCTGCCCAGCCCTAGAAAGCGAAGAAGCCCCGGGGCAGAGACTGGAACACAGTCATATGCTCCAGATCCCAGCTGGTCCTTCCCCACCCCTGCACCCCCCAACTGCAGAACTGGCCATCCCACCCTCCCCCACCTTCCAGCCTAGGACTTACCTTCCAGGTGCATCACTCAAACATGGAGCCCAGGGGTGCGCTCTCCTGCTGGGAAAGCTTCCAATTGGGGGGTGGGAGGGAGATTCTAGGACAGGACATGTGGGACGTCTGTATTAGCCTGGGACAAGTGACAGAACCCAGCTCAGAGCTGGCTTTAAAATAGGACTGGCTGGTCTAGACTCTAGATAAGGCTGGTGGGAGAGAGTCGCACGGTATTTCCAGGATATCTCTCTCTCTCTCTCTCTCTCTCTCTCTCTCTCTCTCTCTCTCTCTCTCTCTCTCTCTCTCTCTCTCTCGGCTTTGCTTTCCTCTCTGTTGGGTTCATTCCCAGACAAGTCGGCCCCATCTGTTGGCAAACTGACCAACAGGCACACCACCTCCAGCCTGGCAGCCAGCCTTCCTGCTTCTGCTGCTCCGAGGCAGAGCTGTGGACCAGAGTCTCTGGCCTCAACCAATGGACAAAAAGACGCCAGTTAGTGAAGCAGGTGCTGGGAGGAAAACGCACAGCAGGCGGGGGAGCAGAGGCAGGGGGTGTGAGGGGGGCAGGGTCGAGGGGCAGGGCCGTTGGCTCCTTCCTCTCTGCGGCTCATGGCCCTTACCCCAGGGAAACCAGCGACACAGTCATCTGGCCTCACTGAAGGTGGCAACCCCTTTCCCAGAGGCACCCTCTCTAGGTTGCATCAGAGTGTGGGGGTCACGGGGTACAGTCTACATTGGAGGGGAAGCAACGTACCCGGTCACGGAGACCAATCTCCAAACCCACATGGGAAGCTCCTCCGAGGCTGCCAAGCTCTGCCGCATCCACAACGTGCTCTGTGATTACTGGCTCCCGGTCTTATCTGTCCCAGCTGCTGCAGCAAAGTGGCCTAGGCTAGGGGCTCAGAAACACAGGGTCTCACTCCTCGCAGCCAGGAGGGGGAGGGGGGGCAGTGCAGGGCCAGGGCACCAGCATGGCTGGTCGGGGGAGAGCTCTCTCCCACGCTGTGGGGGGCGTCTTCTCTCTGTGTCCTCCTGGAGGAAGGGGCGAGGGACCTCTCTGGGGTCCTTTCTAAGGGCACTAACTCCATTCATGAGGGCTCCACCCTCATGACCTAATCACCTTCCAAAGGCCCCCCCAGCTAACCCCATCACATGGGGGTTAGGTTTCAACATGTGAACTTGGGTGGGGGGGGATACGAACATTGAGTCCCTCACACTTAATATAGATGTATTTTAAGTTTGGCCCAGGCCTGACATTGCTACCTACTTCTGTGAAACCACAGAAATAGATGTCCATATATATGTACAACCATGTACCAAGTATATGGACATGCATGTACCAAGTGTACACATAAATATACACACAGCCAAGTGCTTGTCCGTGTGTCCCCAGGACCAGCCACACGCCGGGAGGGCAGCAGCGACGCGCTGGGAAGCGCTGCTCTGTGGCGTCTCCCCCACAGCACGCTCAGACCCGGGAGCCAACCCGCACCCGCCCCAGCTCCGGGGGCACCACGGTGTCCGCTCCCACACACTGCCTCCGACCCAGTCCCTCCTCACAGCCGGGCCTGGCCTGGGATTGTTTAAGCAGCACACACACCTGCTTCCCCCAACACCTGTTCTCTCCGGCTACAGACCCTCAAGCCTTCTCCAGGTCCCTCAGCTCTTCGGCTCTTCCTCTCCTATCCCCTTCCTCCTCCTCCTGTTCCTCCTCCTCTTCACCCTCCTCCTCCTCCTCCTCTTCCTCCTCCTCCTCCTTCTGTTCCTCCTCCTCCTCCTGTTCCTCCTCCTCCTCCTGTTCCTCCTCCTCCTCCTCTTCCTGTTCCTCCTCCTCCCCCTCCCCCTCCCCCTCCTCCTCCTCCTCCTCCTCCTCCTCCTCCTCCTCCTCCTCCTCCTCCTGTTCCTCCTCCTCCTCCTCCTCCTGTTCCTCCTCCCCCTCCTCCTCCTCCTCTGGACATTCCCTTTATAAACATGTCACTGAAATCACACTCAGTGCTCCCCACGGATCTGAGCGCCGGGACTGTTAACATAGGACCCTTTTCCTAAGGGCCAGGCCCTGTGCTACGCACGACCCCACTGAGTCCTCAGAACAACCCCAACAGACGGGTGCTCTTATCTCCGCTGTACAGGAGTGGGAAGAAGTTAAGACATGGCCCAAGCTTACACAATGGGTAGTAGTCAAAGTAGGACTTGGACCTAGATATTAGCCACTGTATTGTATCCTTCCCTAACCCGGGCACGATGCTTCTAGTAATACGACCACATACAGCATCAGCTTTTCTAATGAAGTCCACAGCCCACATTGCCTCATTTAACGTGTGGACAGCTGAGTCAGGGTGTCAAGTCCAGCTGCCATGGGAGTCACTGAAGAAGTCTTGTTAAGAATTCAGATTCCCAGATTCCCACGCCTAATAATTTAGACTTTGCCGGTAAGGCTTGGAGATGTACATTCTAAAGCTAAAGTGCATATTTCCAGACCTCGGAGGGTCTGGTGCAGCAGGGGCTGGAGCACACGTATGTTTGAAAACCTCTTTGGGTGACAGCCAGGGCGTGGACCCCTGCCCTCGGGTAATCAACTCCAGCGTGGGCAGTTCTTGGTCCATTACACCGGGAAGTCCCACTGCTCTCCACTAGATGGCGAGGTATGTCCCTCTCAGCCCCAGTCCAGCCCAGCTCAGCTCAGCAAGAAGCAAGCCCAGACCACCAAGACGTCCCTGCCCATGAGGTAGGGCTGCAAGGGGGCAGCCTCCTATGATTCCTGCCCCCTCCCTGCGACCGGAAAAGAGTGGTTCTTCAGTGGGGGGAAATGTCTGTTTCCCCTCCGAAGGCAAGAAACACATCTTCAGGGGGAGAAGCAGCATTTGGAAGCTGGCCTCAGGGCAAACTGGAATACCTGTTCACCCACCGAGATTCAAGATTTGCTCCCAGCCAGGAGGCCTGGATCCTGAGCCCAGTACAGGGCTCGAGGGTGACAGGCTGCCCAGCGGGGGGCCAAGGGGGAAATAGGAAGCATCCCACCAACCACGGGGCCTCCCACCAACCACGGGGCCGCTCCAACAGGAGGCTCCAGCTGTTCCCTTCCAATGAGAGGGCCCAGGCAGGTGGCCTCCAGGAGCCCGATACCTGCCCCCTGCTGGGAGGCAGCTGGGGAGCAGCAGGATACTCGCCAGGGCCACTGTTCCCAGGGAGAGAGGCTATAAAAACAGGACCATGTGGGCAGCCAGGGGAGTCACACACACAACTGGGGCACCTGAAGAATGCCATAAACTTCACCTGGCCCAGCCACCTGCCTCCTCCTCATGTTCCTACAGAATAGACGAGTCTTCCTCCTGGCCTCGGGGCCAGGAGGGCCTCTGCCCGTGGGTGCCAGGACACCTCGGGGACAATCAGGCGGCCAGGTGTGGGGTGTGGAGTGTGGAGAGCGGGAGAACCTGGGGCAAAGAAAGACAGGTGTGAGGAAGGACCCTGGTGGGCTGATTAATTGCCCCCAAAATGCCCCATCCTAATCCCCAGAACCTGTGACTATGTCGGCTGACACAGCAAAGGGGAATTAAGGTTGCCGATCAGCTGATCTTAAATAGGAAGATTACCCCAGTTTAGAATTGTCTGGGCGGCACAAAGTCATCATAAGGGGCCTTAAAAGTAGACTGAGGCCCAGCCAGCCTGGCTCAGTGGTTGAGAGTTGACCTATGAACCAGGAGGTCACGGTTCAATTCCTGGTCAGGGCACATGCCCAGGTTGTGGGCTCAATCCCCAGTGTGGGGCATGCAGGAGGCAGCCAACTGCTGATTCTCTCTCGTCATTGATGTTTCTATCTCTCTCTCCCTCTCCCTTCCTTTCTGAAATCAATTATATATATACATATACACACACACACACACACACACATATATATATGTATATTTAAAATAGTAGACTGAGGCAGAAGAGGAGAGTGGCGAGAGCTCTGACTATGGAAGAAGGTCAGAGTGATGTTTTGTGAACAAAAAGGCTCAACCACTATTCCTGGCTCTGAAGATGAGGAAGGGCCACCAGCCACAGCATGCGGGCACCTCTAGAAGCTGGAAAAGACCGGGAACCAGATTCTCCCCGGAGCCTCCAGGAGGAGCCTGGCCCTTCTGACCCCTGATGTGTAGCCCAGGGAGACGCCTCAGACTGCTCATCTACAGGACTGTCAGGCAGTGCATTTGTGCTGGTTTGTGGCGTTCGTTACAGCGGCCCTGGGAAACGAATACACAGGCAAGGCAGCCGTCAAAGGTCTAGCACACTGGATCCTCAGCTCAGCCCCGAGGGGGAGATGCAAAGGCCTGCATTTCAAGGCTGAGTTTGAGTAACGGGCAAGTTTCACGTGGGGGGGTAAGAGGAGAAGCCGGCATCCAAACCCGTGTTCTTCCTCATGTCCGTGATCTCACAGGGGTGCCCCAGTGTGACAGGCGGGTTCTAACATGGCCCCAACGCCCCACCTCCTGGGAGGAGGCCCGGGCAGCCCTGCCAATCAACATGCCTTCCTCCAGGCCCTCTTCGCCCATCCCCAGGGCTGGGCCTGGCTCCTTTCCACCCTCAGCTCCAGAACCTCCTTGGCCAGAGGAGTGGCCTGGCAGGGAGCCAGGGCAGGTGCAGAATAAGGCACTCTTCAGGAACCTTCTAGAATTGCCCAAGACAGGAAGAGTCTCCTAACCAGCAGAAGCAGCAGAGGTTCCTGGGACCCTCTTTGTTTCTTCTCCTTTTTTATAAAAATGCGTTTTA